AGTTAATGCAAACTTGATCAGTGAGGTCAGCTTTCCCATAAACCAAATCTTATACCCCCCCCCAAAAAGCCACCTTCCAATATTTTAAACACAGTGAGGGAGAAAAAGACATTTATTTTAAACCTGAAAACATGTACAAGATGGATGAGAAAGTATATATGGGTTAAGTATTGAAATAAAGCACTACTGAATATGTATTAGTACTAAACTGAAATTAAGATCTTACAAATTAACATTCTGTTCTAGAACATGAATGAAAACAATTTACAAGTACACAAGTATGAGGGATGCAGTCAAGTTTTCCTTTCTTAATATATTTGGAAACCATACCTGGGTATCTGTTCAAACAGAGTAATTAGTACATGTACATGTCCATGTTTCAGGCAATTAACCATCAAGTTGTTTTGTATTCACTCCATTCAGAATTGAAATAGAAAGATGGCCACAAAGAGCTAAATGATTAATCCCAAGATTCACATAACAACATAGACCCTGAACACATCAAGTCACAAAGGATTGTACAATAATAAGTGAAAGGAACATTAGTCTATACAACTAAATATTTGATTCTATGCATTCTTCAGAGGAGCACTGCTGACTGAAGGCAATAAAATCTTGGGTGATCTAGTGAAGTACCTAGTAATCTACAGAAATGGTTCAAGGCCAAACAGAACTGTTCTCCATTCACCTCAAGCCTTGGAATAAAAAGTTAATGTGCCTGCCCTTTGGCCCATGAACTTCCCACAGGAGCCATAGCTACTTCTAGAAGCAAACTAAACAATGGGATAGAAGCAATGCCTAACCCATTAAGGCCAAGCTTCTAGACCACAGGTATCCATAGCAAAGTTGCAAAGTGCTATCTACAGGTGGACTGAGCTCAGACAACACAACATACTGAGAAGGAGGAGGAGTATATTATACCTGAGGCTGAGGTTATTTTCAGTGTAGTGCCATAAAGGAAGCGATCATCTGTGGAATTGATCATGCTACCTCCTTCCTGGCTTCTGAGTGGGGATGCTCTCAGCATTTAAGGCAACATCTGTGTGTGCTTTCTTAAGAATGTGTCTGACAATCAGTGCAGCACCTGAAAAGGAGCGCTGTGTCCTACAAATAATTACATTCTGAGTCACTGGTGCTCTGAGTCACTACACTCACTGGTGCTCTAAGTCCATAAAGGCGCTTAACAAATGACAGAACTGGAAACGTGAGCAGTTTAAGAAGCTGAACTTCTCAAACAGGGACACTGCCTTTTAAGAAGTACAATTTGCTTTCTCCCAGTGCAGTAAGAAAGTAGGACAAACGCTCCCCAATATGGAAGAACCATTTTATCCTTAGTACCTCCATGGATCTGCATGGCTCAAAGACTGAGAGGTCACAATAAAACAAAATCTAGGGAAAGAGAAAAGCACCCTGCAGGTACAGAGAAAGAAGGAAGTGTCCCTTTCTTCCTTTGATCCATTTCCTCTCAATCAGAGCAAATTCCCGCAAAGTGAACTAAACACCACCCTTACTTTATCCTAAAGTCTGTGAAGGATGTTTACATGCAACCTTTTGTTGAACTCACTGCTCGGTGGTAAAAGTCATTCAAGAGATGTGAAGAATGACAGAACAGAATTCCATTGCCCTTAAGCCTGCTGTCCCTTGAAGAACTAGGAGCAGCAATGGGTTATCGTAAGAAATACAAAGACTCAGAAGTTAAGAGAGTATTTCTGAAGTTTCGCAGGTCTGAACAGCCAATCTAAGCTAAGGGATTGAATTTGTGTTTAACCTAAGAGGGACTGTTATACAAGCAGATCAAACTCCTTTATGAGCTGTATCTGCAGAAGGAACACTTCCAAATGATATTCTCTTTCCCTTGAATTCTTTAGAATATAATCCAACAGCTGAAGTATATTGCTAAAAATCAGTGGGCGGTTGGAGAACCATTCATGTGCGCTTCAGCAAACGGACGAGGATCTGTGCTGTACAGGTTGTCCAAATAACCACCAACAATTTCTGAAATCAGGTTTCTGTCAGGAATGGCTTGTGCCATGCCATAGATTGCAGCCTATAAATTCAAACAAAACAGAATGCAATGATCAGCTAAGGTTTATCCCATGCAAGATTACTTCTGAAATGTATTATTATTTGTATTTGCATAAATAATGCCCAAGGGGGCTAACAATAAAATCCAGGGCTTATCAAATAAGCAACAACACACACATACCCCACAAGCCATATAAAAATCAGGAGCAAATAAAAATAAATAAATGAAAGCCCATTTAAAAATTGAAGAAAAACATTAAAGCAGAGCATATTATTTTAGTTATCAAATGCCTAGATACAAAGGGGCTGTGTGATAAGGGCAGATCACCTACAGAAATTCTAGAGAAGCTTTCCTCAGAAGGGAATTCCTGGGTGTAGGCACTAGAAGTACTCTTATTGTTTGTTTTACCATAAGTCACAATAATACAGCAAAGCTGAAACATAAGAAAGATCTAACAGAAAACGACAACTGAAATGCTTATACACAGACAGAATCTGGAAAAAAAGCCCTTCATTGAATTTCCATCCAGTGCACACCAGATAAGACCTCTCTGGAAGACCTACACGCTGACTTAAACTAATGTGAGAGAAGGCAGTTCTCCAGCTAGTTTATCTCCAAATAATTTATTTCTTTAATCAGCTCTACAATTTGTACCTGGAAATGAAGGACAGCCCAAGCAGCTTTCTAAGCTAGGAAATAATATGCTTCCTATAACTAGTCCTGGTCAATAGTCTGGAACACACTGAACAGTGTTCAACAATGACCTAAAATAAATGCACTGCAATCAATTAATCAATTAAGATGTAATTAAGGGTTGTGTCAATTACAGTCCAACCTGACATCTTTCTGAATGAATCTGGTAGGCAGCCCACCCTCAGTGAAATAAAAAGCATCCTTGGCCAAGGGCTGAAATCTAGGTATCCCAGGATCTTGGTGTGAACCCAACAATATCCCCAAACTTCCAACTTGATTTTTCAGAGTATAATCCCATCCAAGTGTGAGCCCTATTCTCTGATTTGCTTTCTACTGACTAGAAGGGCCACTGCCTTGTCTGGACATGTTTCAATAACAGCAAATCTCAAAAAATCAATTCAGAATTTCCTTTACCATGCCAGTAGTCTTTCCTTTGGGATCCTTCATGATCTCAGAGACACTCTCTCTAATATCCTTCAGAAGTAGTTCAGCCAACCCAGGTTTTGTTTGCACTAGTGTTATGCAGAAATGAATACTTGGAAAGAGATGGAGAAAGACAAAATGTTACTTTTCTTCACAATCAGAGCCTATTTTGTGATAATTTAAACAAATGTCTTTGGGCAAAGGCATCAAAGCAACACTAGACTTTTGCACCATTTTGTTTCATTAAACACCAAATCTGCACAAAGTCTTGTCCCCTTCATAATTAGGAGGATGCAGACATTTCAAATTAAGGTTCAAAAGAAACATCTAAGCTCCCACATCCCCTCCTGTTATATTCCCCAAAACGTCCGCCAATGTTTTGTAGCCATTTGGTAACTTGGCAAATGTACATTATCTTCTGTGTATTAGCAGTTAAGTAACAGGAGAAAAAAAAGATGGTGGCTAAATTACTTTTCCAATGCTTTTCTGCAGGGAGACATGAGTGCAAAATATGGTTTTATTTTATGTATGGCTGCAGTTAATTTACTCTGATCAGGTGATAGTTTTATTCAATATAAAATATGTTCAGGGTGTGCTAGTATTTTGTTTTGTTTGGGGAGGGTTTTTTTTGTTTTGTGTTTTGAGGAAAGTGGGTCATGTTTTCTTCTTTTTTGCTAATATCAATAATCACACTTAAAATAACCTTGCACAGATGAAATTATGAGAAGCTAAAATCATAAATCTAAAATAATTTAAAAAGTAATCTAGTCCAATTTTGATGATGCAAAGAAAGACCTAAGGTGCAAGTATTCATTAACAGATTAGTAATTATTATAGCTGAACAGAAGTATTTATCTTTCAAATAATTGAGAAGAGTAAGAAAGCTACTTAAGTCTGGGCTTCTTCTAAATAGTCCCCTCCAATCCAAGCTTCCTAATTTTAGATCTTAAGAGAATGGCCAGAAGCAGAAATTTTCTTTGGAGAGTGGAAAGACTAGTTTTTTAAGAGCTATGACAAATAAAATCTAAATGCGTGAAGCAAATCTTTTCCTTGAGTGTGGAGAAAATATTTTTTATATCCTTTTATCTCTTTGTAATTATCAGTGCCATCCACAAGACAGAAAATAAGATTATGATTTTACTCTGTAATTATGAAAGTCACATTTGAGAAATTGTATATTCTAGCACTAACAAGAAGGTATCAATCAACTTAGTTGGCAACTTACAAAAGTATGGAGTAAATGCGTGGTATGACCTTGGTTGTTTTACTGAAAACCATAATCTTTAGCAGAACTGGGTTCACATTCCCCCCCCAAAATAGGTCTACAACTGAACCAAGGATGGAATCCCAAATTTTATATATAACATCTCCAAATATCTTGGAATAAGCATAATCTCTGAAAGTATTTTTTACAGAAGCAAAATTGTTACCCTGAATGAGAAACCATACAAAATAGCTAAGATGGGGAGAATGCATCTCTTTCTCTCACATTATTTTTCAAGTACGGAAACTGGCAATTTTAATATATGTCCCACAGGATAGGTGTGGGAAAGGTATTTCCTAGTATGGAGAAAGTGGACAGCGATATTTGCTTTTTCCTCCCTTTCTAATAATTATGGAACTCCCTACAAGATGTAGTGAGAGCCCACCAGCCTACATTTTAAAAAGATGAAGACAAATTCATGGAGGATTAAGGCTCTCAAAGCTATGGGTTATGACGGCTATGTATCAGCTCAAGATCACAAGCAAATTGGCCTCTGAATTCCAGCAACTGAGATGCAACAGAATATGGACATTTTGTCTTGATCTCCTGCTTGTAGGTTTCCACAGACGTCTGACTGGCCACTGGGGAACAAGTGGTCTAGAAGTGCTTTGGGTCTGATCAATCCAAGAGAGAATTTTAGGTGCTTAACCAGTGCTCTGTCTCCCCCACCTGAAAGTGGTGGAGAAACAATCAGAATCCCAAGGAACTTACCTTCGAGGGAACTGTAAATTATTAAAATTCCATCCTCTAGATACTAGCAGGTTTGACAATCGGTAAATGTCAAATGTATCAGACTTCAAAGCAAAGACAGAAACCTCCGGTTTGCCAATGATAAGGATGTGGTCAATTTTCTGCAACCTTAAAGAGAAAAATGTTAAAAATATGTTCCATCTAGTCTGTGCGTAGGTCCTCTAGTTACATTTAATGCTGTAATTATGCTGTTTAAAAGCCACTATCAAAGTTGTAATTTTAGCTGTTTCCCCTTTTGGTCCAGGAATTCGTCATTCTTAATAGAGAAAAGTTGTGGGTGGGGCAGGTTGCTTTATTATTATTATTTTCTTTCTTTACAAAATATGTATCTGGTGCTTTCATAGAATAGAAGAAGAAAAAAAAGGAACATGAAATATTACTTTATAAAACAGTATGATTTTAAACGAAGAGTTTGCAACAAAAGAGGCCACAATTAATTCCAGTGGCCACATCTGAACACAGAATGTGACCTCATAATTTAATTTGAGGTGAATGGTCTTTCCCAAGTCACAAATTCCCTTCTCCACAGCATGGCTTTAAATAGTTCAGAAGCTTTTCCTCCCTTTTTTTGGCTTAACCTACATGGGGAAAAGTGTTTCTAAACTCATTTTCTTTATATCAGAAAAGAGGAAGCATACTGCGTGTGGATGACTGATCCAGATACAGTATGCTAAAACAGCATGGAGGAAAGAAATGGAACTCAGAGCCTCCACCCCATAGCATAGCAGCAGTTCCCTAGCTACATCTTCTGGGGCATACACAGCATCACCAAGCAATATTTCTTAATCCTACCCAAATAGACAGCCTTGAGAAACAGCATGGTTAGTCACCATTCAACATGCTGAGAATACCAAGAAACACAAGAGGATATGCATCCTTAGCTTAAAACACAACTTGAAAGTTTCTACATAAAGGATAGCCACCATGACCCTTCAGATGTTGCTGAACTACAAACTCCTAACTTCCATCACTATTGGCTATGCTAACTGGGGCTGCTGGGAATTTTAGTTCAGTAACATCTGGAAGACCACAGATCTCCACCAAAGCTCTGAAAATATGACCAGACAAAAGCTCAACAAATATTTGCGCTTCTCTGAAATAACAATGAGGATCTAAGGATGAGGGCAATTTTCCAACAGAAGATGCACATCTGTAGAAAGTTTACGAAGAAATTCATCAAATATTGCCTTATGTGATATTTGTAGTAATGCCAGTCTAGTGTGATGGCAACAACCTCGCCCTAAAAATTTTGCCTCTGGTCTATTAAGCTAGAGTTATCTGAACATGCAATAGAATGGCACGGTCAACCAAAAGCCAACGGTCAACCAAAACGGTCAACCAAAACCACAACATTAGTCTCACAGAGTGTGCAGTCCTCTCCAAACGTACCATATAATCCTTTAGCACACACAATTAGTTGATCCTTGACTAAAAAGAAATTCCACTTTCGACTAAAATATTATTTCTTGAAGCTTTGTTTAGAGATATTCCTAATCTTATCTTTCTTCTGAATAAGAATCATGCCTTGAAAAAAGGAGAGGGAAGGAAGAAGCATGAAAGTCTAATGAACTGCACGCATCTAACTCCTGCTGTTTCAGCCACTATGGACTCTTCCTTCTGCCAACCATCATCATAGGGTCACATAAGAGCCATCTTTATCTATGTACAAAAGAGGGCTGGTTTTCCAATAACGCTCTCCCCCCACAAAAAACAGTAGATTAATGTTATTGTTTGTACTGCATAATTTCTATTCAGGCATATCATCTTAATACATTGCTTTGCGTGATCAAACACTGCATATGAGTACTGTATATGGATGATAGCCAAGAACATGCACCTACTGAATGCTTGCAAAGAGTACAAGTTACAAAGCAGCCACAGAGGGATGAAATGGGCACCCTGGGAGAGGAAGCGGAAGCATAAAATGTACAGAATAAATGGAAATCATGTACATACTCAGATATGATGAACCTTGTAGTTGAGATGATCTTCCTAGTGGCTTCCACATAACCACCTTCTCCTAAGTGCACCATTGTTGCCCAGCAACCTGCAATAAGGCATCCAGGTCTGGAACCAGCAATAGTGGGGGAGGCGTAAATCCCGCCTTGCCAATCAGGAGCAACAAAGAACTGATGACGCCGGTATTTCACATCACTGTACATTATTACAGAGGAGCCCTTTGGAGCATAGCCATACTGCAAAGAAGGGGGCCAATGTTCAAGTTGCAAAATAATCCCACACAAAGTCACTTCAACAGGTTCAAACCTCTTTTATAGATATTCCAAGACTTGCCCAGTTGGTAATTCTCTACTGATTTATCAAATAGGGGTATGCGGTTATCATTTTTAATGAAGCTTTGCCACTGCTTGTTTATTAAGAGGTATTCAGAATTTCTCTTTGGAAGAGAAAAGTCATGAAAACAGATGGCGTCTTGATCAAAAGGTGAAGAATCACCCATGCTCTCAATGGTGAGCATGCTCAATTCTGAAAAAGTATTTGATGTTCAACAGGAATCGTTCTCTTTGATGTACTTTGGTTTAAGTCTGCAATTTTAAACAAACTACATTGATATATATATATTTATCTTCTATTTTTTCTATTGTGTATTTTATGTATTTTATTTATATTATTGTAAGCCACCTAGAGGCACATAAAAGTGAGACTGGGCAGCTATATAAATTGAATGAATAATTTTTTTAAAAAATGATATGGCAACAATATCACTAGGAAACGTTTAAGAGGAAACCTGCCTGATCTAGTTTAGCACAGCTTCAAAGCAGCTCTAATCAGAAGTTCAGACAAATCTCTTTTGACTCACCTTATGTGTATCTGCGGAAATGCTGGTGACACCTTTCACTCGGAAATCAAAAGTCTGTAAAGGAAATCCTGCCTTCTCCATGAAGGCAATGAGAAAACCTCCTAGGCAGGCATCCACGTGGAAGGGAATATTGTATTTCAGGGCAAGCTGGGTCAAGATAGGAAAAGAGGTTAGGTCATTTTCTTAAGCCGCAGAAGTGAGCTACCAGTAGAGCTTGGAGCTTGATAAACATTCCTTATTTAGGAAAGTTCAGGTATTGTCTACAAAAGGTATTCAATGCACCACCTTAAATTGTGGATTACCACGGCTCAGACTTTTGACAGTGTCTAACAACTCCTTCTGCTGGAAATATTCTTTCATATAAATAAAGTCACCTACCAGCAGATCTGCATTAATAGACAGTTCCTTCAAATTTCGGAAAAAGAAAAAAAAACTTTTCTCATACCGTTTTTTTTTTTATAGTTACTTTCAACGACAAAGTCCAGATTACTCCTACTTCAACTGAACATTCACTATATGGAATACAGTACAGTATAGTATAACTTTATTGATTAGCCAATTGACCATATCAAATATATGGAATACAGGGTGCAGTTTGAAGCTGAGCTAGACCACTGGCAGCAACTACTCAGCTATCCACAGATCTTTGGCAAGTCTATCTTGAAAATTTCAAGCATTTTCAAGCAAAATTTTCAACTAGCATTTTCTACATGCATTCTTATTGCTAAGTTATGGTCTGTCTTCTAAAGTTCAGTCTGATCCCCAAATCCTGGATACATCTGGAATCCCAATCCAAATAATCGATGGGGTCCCTTTGATCAACAGATCAGAAGTCCAAATGACAAATAAAGCAAAAAAGATATTTAGCACACAAATGTGTACATCCTGCATCCAAACATGCTTCTTTTTAAAGCATACATTCTCATAGACAATTACAACAGATGCACAGACTACCAAATCTGATATTCTTTCCCTTCTACTCAGCACAGATGGGCATCTATTCAGTGATTTAGATGTTGCCCAATGGCTGGGGGACATTTTTGGAAGTAAATTGTAAAACCCCAAGCCACAGCAAAATTAACCACTGAGGGCACAAAAGCCGCAAAAGAGTGATGCCCAAACACACTGCAATAACATCCCAAGGCCTTACTGAGCTCCATCAGATTTGCTTCCTGCAGCTGTTCTGCACATCCTCTTTAAAGCTGAACACTCTGTATTTACAGACTCTGCCGTGGACAGAGTTAGAAGTTTCTTATTGTCAGCTATAGAAAGAGGAAAAAACCAGATGAGAGATCTAAGCTTTCTACTCAGGTAACAGAGATACAAAATGGGGATGATCCCCAGGAGTGCAAACACTGCCATACGTGCTTTCACTTCAGTAGAGACCTACAGCAGTTTTGTATCAAAGCAAAAACATTACCTTTGCTACCTCCTCAATGGGGTCAATGCTCCCATGAGGAAATTGTGGGGCTGAACAGACCAGCATGGCTGTATTCTTGGAAATGGCTTTCTTCATTGCCTGAAAAATTAGGACAAATCATTAGGAATCCATAAACCTACGCACAAATCAAGGCATTAAAACCGCATCATCTGAAGGATTCCTTCTATGAGTTTCTTTCCTTCTTCCACCCACCCGCCCCCTCAAAGGCTCCATCACCGTATTCCACTTGTCTATTGGTATATCTGGAGATGTCAGAGGGATACCTTCACGTCCACTTGCATCAATTTGGTCAATGGAATGTGCACAATCTTAATCTTGAAATAATGGGCAGCCTTGTCAAAGGCTGCATGGGCACTTTCTGGCACCAACCTGAAAAACAAAACCAACGAAGAAAATAATGCATTTGAGGAAAAATTGGTAGCGCTCCATGCCAACCTCCTTTCCTTTCTTTTCCTCTCTGAACAAAGACAGACTGATAGGAATGAGACTAACAAAAATGGAGGAGAGGGAAATCTTAAACAGATTTCACATCTGATAGACTAACAGCATGTGCTGAGCCTGCAAGATCAGCTACATCTTTCCACCTCTCCTTTATCAATATTATTGGCACAGCAAATAGGCAGCAAATTCCCCAAATCAAGAATCACCTTTCCTAACTTGATCCCCTCAATCTGTGTTGGACAATAATGCCCATTATCCCCAGCCATCTGCATTCTAAAACACTGCAACTTTTACTCTGTCCCTCTGCAGCAAAGACTGGACTGTTCCCAGTCAAGATTGTATGGCAAGAGTTTCCTAACTGTAAATGTTTTATGAAGGGAATCGCCAAAAATGAGATAACAAATAGACCTCCTGGATACAGTTAAGTCTTTGCGTGAATTTAGAGAAAGCTTCAGAACGGTGCTTTTTAGTATTTGCCAACCTATAATGTTTGTTATTGTTGTGGCAGATTGTTTGAAAAACATGGGCAGTAATAAAAACAAACAGAACCACTCAAAGAGTTGGTCTCACTTCAACTGCTGTGTTGACTAAACATTGTAGATAACTTGTAATTCTTAAGATATCTAGTAGATGGCATGTCTTGAAATATTACTGTATTCCATGAAAGGGCTTCCCCCTTTCAGCATAAAAAAGACTTGTCCTGCATCAGTTACTCATGTACAATAACCAAAAAAAAATGCATTACACAAATGATCTTCCTTCAAGAATGTAAATTAAAATTGACAAGAACATTTATTGCAGAGATGAGTACTAACTACTAGCCACAGTTTGCTTCAGAAAACTGAAATCAGGGACTATTTGTTACCAACAGAAAAGAATATGTGTAGCTCAGGGTTGATCTGTGGAGTCCTTGGGGTTCTCTGAGCTTGGTTGTTTTCTTGCAAACGTTTTATTACCTGGCTAGGTAACATCTTCAGTGCTAGAATGGAGTGGGGTTTGGTCTCTGTTTATATACAGTGACATGCCCTGCTAGTGCTGGTGGGGGTGGGGGGTTCGTTTTCTTTTGTTTTTTCCTCTGGTAGTTCCTTGATTACCTAATCAAGGATCCTGAACTACCTAATCAAGGAACTTGATTTACCTTGTTTACTGCTAGATTGTATGTCTGGTGATAATCTTGTTGTTTATCTCTATGTGCCTGTTGATCGCTGCCTTGTCTGAATACCAAGCACAAAATCTACACACTATTCAAAAGAGACAATAAAAAGGAAAACAAAAGACCAGAACACCTCCTCACCAGCAATCATCACCCAGATAAGCAGAGATTAACACCAAGATTATCAGCAGACATACAATCAAGCAGTAAACAATATCCTAATCAAGCAAACCCCATTCCACTCTAGCACTGAAGATGTTACCTAGCCGGGTAATGAAACGTTTGCAAGAAAACAACCAAGCTCAGAGACTATTTGTTAGATCAAGATAGTTAAAAGTAAAAGGAATGAACTTTAAACAACCAAGCTCAGAGACTATTTGTTAGATCAAGATAGTTAAAAGTAAAAGGAATGAACTTTACTGAAGATGTTACCTAGCCGGGTAATGAAACGTTTGCAAGAAAACAACCAAGCTCAGAGACTATTTGTTAGATCAAGATAGTTAAAAGTAAAAGGAATGAACTTTGCTCTCCAAAAAGTCCAAAAAGGGGTTTCCAGTCACTAATAAATGTAGTTGTTGAACTTTCTCTAATCAAACAAGTATAAATATCTGCCATAGGGATTTTTAAGTCTGATTACCTTAGATTTTAAGTCTGGTTATTACTGGATCTCTTGACAAATTGTATTTTGATGTTGTTGTACTATAAACTGGCTTGAGGCCTATGAAGTTGGCAGCATAAACATTTGGTATAAAATATAAATAGAGAACACTTGGATTTACCTAAAGATACTATGAACTAACTTTGTCTACAGTTTCAGAGGCTACATGAAGACCACATCAATTGAAATACACAACTGATGTCACAAACTTGTTATCAGAACTTCCACAAAAGCCATTGGATCCAAAGAATTACAGAACTAGTTCACTGCATTGGGTTTTTCAAAGAACAGCCTTCAAAGGATGAGAAACCAACTTTGAAAACCAAGAGTTGCCAAAGTAGCATGCAATATAGCAAAATAATCTCCTGTTCAAAGGCACAGAAGCCCTCTGTACATCTAAGCAGTTCTTCAGATTTCTAGTAACTGCATGAATGAGACTTAGCCCATCTGAAATTATTTGTTATTTTTAGGAAAGTAAACTAGTACAATTTTAAGAGCCAGATTCACAATGCTAGAGAGAGAGGGAAAAAAATGGAAAGGAACTTGGTATCTCCCTAGGGCCAAGGGTTCCCCACTTCCGTTTTTTTGCATGGCACTACTGCAAGAAGACAGGGCTGCTTTCACTTCCCTATAGCTCAGGGTGCTTTCCAACCCTAAATTGTCATTAAACTTAATGATGGTTTGAGGCAAGCCAGCTTCATAATCTCTGGCTCCCAGTTGGCTTGTTTGAAATCTTAGTTATATTAATTTGTTTCTGTTTCTGTCTTCTTGAGGTCATGCCAGAAAAGAGAGCAAGGGAATGTGCTACTTAAGAATACAACTAGTTTCCATCATAATAAACCCACTGTGACAGCCAGAGAGCCAAGAGTTACATACATTTCTGGATATTTGATCCCTTTTTCATAAGCCAACTCTCTGTAGGCTTTACAGGCCATCAAGATGCTCTCAGTTCCACCAGACGTCATCTATTACAAAGGAAATAAAAGCACAACATATAACCAAATGGTCATGTACACAAGAAAGTTGCATTAGAATATACATTTAGTTTTAGCCTCTATTTCAAAAATCTTTGTTCTAAACTAGTGTTTCTCAAACTTGGCAACTCAACGAAGAAAATAAT